CTTTGTTCTTTCTCAGAATCCTGCTTTCATAACCATATGAAAGACCATTGCTTAAACTATTCTAATATTTATTGCCACTGAAAAAGCCTTATTCGTATGGCGCTGCCTAAGTTTTTAATTCCCTTCCACTCTAGATAATTAATCTCCCTTTTATTTCTCATGTACATTGCCTATCTTTATTAGTTTTTTATTTGCCATTAGTTGTAAACATATAGGTTAGTATTACCTTTTACTCTCTAACATTAAATCCAAAGTTTCCATTTTTACTTTGACAAAGAGTGTTCTTTGTTATTGGCTAAGAAAAGTCATGCCATCGGTGTATCTCAAATTGTCAGTGTTTTGACTTCTGATTTTGACTCCAGCTTTGACATTGTAATATTCACTGTATAATTTAAACAACTTGAGGAACAGTATGCATCCTTGTTTCACTGCATTCCAAGTGATGAACCACTTTGAACTGTGTCCAAATTCAGTTTTTATATTAGCTTCTTGTTCATTGTCATGATTCCTGAAAAAAATAATGTCATTAACCTATTTCTTTCCACTCCTTGCAAATGGCTACAAATATCTATTCATATATGATGTTAGGTATTAATTTTATGAATATATAGTTATTTTTATTTTAAATACCAAGAGACAATATCAACAAGAAAACTAAACCAGAAAGGCTTTTTTATAAAACAAACAAAAAACTAATATTGATTTAAAATGAATTTTTCTCCAGGCATTAACATTTTATAAAGTATTTAAACAAATGGGGCCATTTTAATTTGGCACTGAAGAGAGTATGGAATTGACATCAACTATCAGCACATCATTTCAAAGTTACAATTCTATCACAAAATGGGTTTCATAACATTCTGATTAGCAAGCAAACTTTGTATGAATGGGCTGAACAGCAAAACAATTAAGTGGATATATGTCTGATTGAAAAAACACTGCTGAATAGAGTATCACAATCTTGAGCATCCATGTTCACTTGAATGAAAAGTTGGAGGAAATGATTATGAAGTTTGCACAAAAATGGATACCTAATTCCCCAGAAGATAGAAATAATATTTAAATTTGCATTGTAGATTTAAACAGTTGGGAAGAGAATAGTGGGATAGATTCAATAGATGAGTGCAAAAATTGTGCAAAACAGAATCACACCCCTGATTATTGGAATATAAATCATGTGTAGAATATGGTATACCTGGCTTGGCAAAATACTTGTGAAGCAGACTATGGAAGTCATTGCTTGAAAATAGGATTATGGATAGGCATCAGTATGGTATGTCTATAAATAAGATGGATACAACTGGAGGCTGCATCACCAGAGTATAAGTTGTAATCCATAGGGGTGTGATTATGTTTTATTCCATTTTGCCCAGGCTTCAGTTCAAGAATTGTGTTAAATTCTGAGCATCATATTGGAAGAGGAGGTTCTTTTTCAAACCTTTTTCAAGGTTTTTCACATCAGAAAAGGTTTAAAGAAGGCAGAAAGAATAATCAGGAGATTAAAAACTAAGTTGTATGAAAAGAGATGGAAGAACTGGGAATATTTAATATTAAGGAAAGTGAGGGCAAAACAGGGAGCCAACAGAAGGACTGATACCTCAAAATTCCTCTCCAGACAGAGGGATGGGCCTGTTGTCACCCACAAGCATTCCATACATCCATTCCAGACTGTTTCCAGCAGCTTTAGAACTTTGGGAGCCAAGGAAAAACATGCTTTGCCCAAGTCATGATTTGGAGCCTTCTAATAGTCATTGTGTTTGCCCATTTCCTTTCTTAATCACTTCAGAAAATTGCTTATTAAAGGCTTTTTGGATATTAAGAACCTAAAGAACAAGAAGTTTCATCATACTGGTTGATTTTCCTTCAATCCTCAGCAAAAGAAGTTTCAGCAAGTTTAAGAACTTTTTTTTAAAGCCGACATAAACAATAAATGATTGATTAAAATGTTGATTTTGAAAAGTTATAAATGGACCAGAGAGTTTGGGGGGGGGGGGGGTGAAATTTATTATAAGAATCCTTCCTGTAGGTTATTTAAAGTCCTGTTAAAATATATGAAGATTTTGAATTTAAGAAATTTTCCCATTAGAAAATGTTGTGGACTAAAGAAAAACATAAGAAGAATTTTTGAAGACTGAATACTGGAGCAATCAGAAAGAACTAAATATTATAATTAAAGGGATGAGAAATGGGGGATGAATGGAGGATGGAGAAAAGTACTTTAACTTTCCAATTCAAATTCGAAGGATATTTGAGAACAACGCACTAAGAAATTTCTATCAAGATTGTTTGCTACCATAAAAGAGGAGATAGAAGAGGACACAACTGAGAATAAGTGTTTTGGATTTGGATTTAAAAATGACAAGCTACAAAAATCATATGGGAAAAGATTCTACATTGGATTTAGAAATGAAATTGGCTAATTTCTTATGAAACAAACAAAATGTAAAAAAGTTATGATATTTATGTAGTGTACTTATCAAGCACATCTAAATTATAACCAAAATATCTTTATAATCCACAAGACATATCATACCTTTTGAGCACCCCTAATATTTGGAAATTGAAAATTGTAAATTTTGACATGCCCTAGTACACATGAAAAATGTAAGGGTTATTTTATCAAAGCAAGATTTGATGAATCTCACTTAAACATTTTTGTAATTCAGAGAATTGCTTTCTGATGATAGTTTATGATTGCATGGATTATTTTTTGCTTAGCTAGCTAAGATTTATGTGGGAAAAAAAACTTTAATTTTTGTAGCACAAAGTGTAATTTTGAGAAGATAAAGTTAACAGTATTTGAGTTACAAGAGACTTTTGTGGGGCATATGATCAGATGTGGATTAATCATACCAAGTTAAACGTTGTGCAGTTGGAAAAATAACAGCAGATTTGAATTCTTGGTGTAAAAACACATATTTTAGAACCCATCACTGAAAAAAAGCAAAATTAAGTTTCACCCCATTAAATGACATGCCCTAATTGTCTTAATAACTAAAAGAGATGCATAATTAATAAATTAGGGGAATGGATTTTTAAAAACAAAAAGAAGGAATATAAAGTTGGCTTATTTGATCAAAGTTAAAATATATATGATGTTTTTAATGGGTTTCTAAGAACAACCAGGACTAGACTTTAAAGATTTATTGTAGATATGACATGACTTTTTTGTTGTATTTTTAGAGAAAGTGGTTAGCTGTGGTGTTAGAAATAAAAGGAATGGTTACAAAATTAGTTTATTTGATTAAGGTTAAAATATGTTATTTTTTATATTTTTAAATTGGTAAATAAATTTCTGAGGTGAAACAAAGGAAATGATAATAAATTAACTTGTGAGTCACTATTTGAAGGAATTAACGATTAATCCCTTGACTACATCTAAATGTCAAGGCTTTTAAGATTTGTTTATAGATAAGAGATAAGATATGGGAAGAGAATTTTTTTATTGTACTTCTAAAGAAAATTATAAGTTACTGTTTTAAAAAGAAAGAAATATAAAACTGATTTGTTTGATTAAGGTTGAAAGATTGTTGATATTTCTAGTTACTCTTAGGCATTACAATTTGTTTATAAATAAGAAATGGAATACGTGAAGAAGAGATATTTTGTTGAAATGTTAGAGCAGGTAATACAGGTAGTCCTTGACTTACAGCAGTTCATTTAGTGACTGTTTGAAGTAATAATGGCACTGAAAAAGTGTCTCATGACCATTTTTCACACTTATAACCATTGCAGCATCCCTGTGGTCACATGACCAAAATTCAGATGCTTGGTAACTGATTCATATTTATGATGGTTGCAATGTCCTGGGATTGTGTGATCACCTTTTGCAATCTTCTGACAAGCAAAGTCAATGGAGAAACCAGATGTACTTAAGAACTATATCATTAACTTAACAACAATAGTGATTCAGTTAACAACTATGGCAAGAAAGGTCATAAAATGGAGCAAAACTCACTTAACAAATGTTTAACTTAACAAATTTTGGCCTCAGTTGTGGTCATAATTTGGGGAATACATGTAGCTGCTGAAATTGTTTTACTTTCTTAATGAAGGGGAAGTGCTTTCTTTATATATATAGTTCTTTTCCCCTGCACTTTTTCTCTTTTTCCTATTTTTCTTAGTTATTTTAGCTTTGTATTTTTAAATGTTAATAAAAATCATTATTAAAAAAAGAATTAGGAATATATAATATTAAAAGACAAAATTGTCTGATAGTATACTTCAAATACTTCAAAAATTATGCATAGAAGACAGCCAAATCCTATTCTTTCCTTATTACTCCCAAGTGCAGGACAGGTTACAGAACAGCAGATTCTGACTGATTGCTAGAAGGAATTTCTTAAGAGGAAGAGCAAATTGATTGTGTTGGTGATACCTTGAAGTAGAATTATTTATTTAGAGTGCCTCCATCTTGTCCAAGTTTATCTTCATTTTGTTGACCTTCATCAATCCTGTTACAACTCCAGACAGTTGTTCACCATTTTTGTAAATAGTGTTTCAACACATTCTAGATTATTCCAAGAAATAAAGATAAGCATAATCAGCATACAAATGATATGTATTTCAAATACAAGGATGAAAATTTACTGCTTTTGTTTAACTGGTACGGGGACATGAGGATTCAGATAGAACTTTTCAGAACTAACTCATAGTTTGAAATTCATGCAATAAAGCAGAAGATCCTCATTATTATTGTCTGAAACTAACTTTTAAGACAAATGGAGAATCATTACATCATTAGTGCTCATCAAATAAAATACTAAGGCAGATTTTAACAAAATCACTCAAAATATCAGCAAAGTACTTTCCAGGCAGAATTCCTCCCCCAGTCTCCCCTAATACTGGTTTGACTTGCCTTTTTAAAAAATAAAGCACAGAGTTACCTGAGATCATCATTATATACAGAAAGTTGCAAATTAAGACTTTTGTTTTATCTCGAGCACTTCACTGACAGAGTTGCTTTTCCATTTTTTAAACCTTTTTACTTTATATTACAGGTCATATTGTAGCTGTTGCAAGCAATGATGGAACCGTTAAGACTTTGGAACTCAAATCGGGACATCTTGCCAGCTTATTGGGCCATGAAGATAAAGTTCAGAGTGTAATATTTGATCATATGGCAGAACATTTAATTTCAGGTGGTTCTGATGGCACTATTCGTATTTGGAATTGAGACCACTATTTAGAGAAATATCATAGCACTGAGGGTGGCTTATAATGCCCTCATCTGAAATAAACATCTGAAATAAACAATTCCATTTTACATTAAATAAAATATCTATATTTTTACTTAAATGAAAACAATATTCCAAACTTTATTTTTCTTGTATCTTTCTTCATGGCTTTAAATATGTATTAAAATATATATACAATTTGCCATTTTTCTGAAGAAATAGCTTTATATTGACATCTAATGACAGAAAACATGAACTGCAGAGAGCCCCTACCCCACCCCTTTTCAAGTTATTATAGTGAAAACTACAACTGACTGTCTCATTTTGTGAAAATAATAAAATATATAACTTACTACAGTTTCTGCGAAGAAATTTTTTTGGGGGTGGGTAGGAGCTTAATATTTCTCCATATAACATTTTAAAAATATGCATGCATATTCAAACACACTGAGACTCACATGTAGCAAATGTGGTAATTTTCGGGGGGGGGGGGAGAGAATTCTGCATTAACAAGGCAATAATCAGACCAATGCCTTGGTTGTTACCTTTGCCAAATCATTCAGTAAATGCAGAAAGCTTCAGTCTACCTACTTCCACTTCCTGTAACGTAGTCCTGCAGTCTGATTCCTAGTGCCTTGAAAATAAGCAGATTTTTTTCAATGAAGGTGATCATCAGATGTAGATATAACATTTAGGAGGCATTTTATAAAATACCTTTTCCTTAAGAAAAGTGCCTAAGGATCAATCTAATGCCAGTGAGCAAATGCATCGGACTGGGGTGAAGGCGAGGGGGGGGGAGTTTTCTGCTCAGAGGAGCGGCACGTTCTGCCTGCATGATGCAAAATGAGAGTCACAGGCTGCTGTCTGTGGTGCTGAAGATTTCCAACTGCTTGATGGAATGCCCTCCGGAGGAATAGATGCTGGGCTGCTGCTATCCAGGATACTGAATCTTGCTGAAAGTTGTTATTGTGATTAAGAGCCACAAGAACCCCACTGCTTATTTGGGGAAGAGCCTCTAGAAAGCAGCATAGCATGATGGTGCTGCTGACTGCATTTCAGTCTGGATTGGCTCTGAGCTCTAGCATGCTGGTGCTGTTTCTGGGACTGGAAGCATAGCATATTCTCCACCCTTGTGTGCCTTTTTGCTGATAAATATATATAGTGATTTAGTGGGATTTTTTAAATTTTATTTTTGATGGACCTGAAGACTGCAACCAAGGAAATAGATTTTGTAAAATCCTGGAACGATGATTCTTTTATTTTTTGTTTTTATTGTTTTGTTTTGGACTCTTATTTTGTATAAAGCAGTCTCATCTTTGGACCCTTTTATGACTGATTGCTTTGAATTTTGAACAGTTGGCTAAAGCTTACATCTCTTGGGGATATGCTGTGGTTCTTCTATGACATGGGAGGCTTTAGAAACAAAAAAAATTTTCATAATACTCCCGCACAAATATAATTAAGAAGAGTTTTTTTTCCCTACTATATTGCTGAAGTACAAATCCATTGTGGTTTGTGACTCTTCCTACCATTCACTCTGAGTAGGTAAGTACCCATTTTTAAGAGAAAATGATGTTGATTTCCCAAATATTTAATAGTACCTTAATATCTCCTTTCAAAAACCAAATAAATGTAAATAATATATGTTTTTGGTTTGATTTTTAATCAAAGGACTTCCTTATCATCCCATTTTTCTCTGCATCAAAATAAATATGTATAAATTGTAAGCAAAATATTTAGGATGATCAATTACTGCAGTGAAACCTTGTACCACTTTCTGAAATGGATTTTGCCTTTGCCCAGATGTCTGACAAAATTGATTGAATCCTGCTGTCCTTATAATAAATAGCTTCTTTTGAATTCACTAAAAAATGTAAGTTTCCTCAGCTTTAAGTATGGCAGACTAAAGCCTACCTGTAGAATGCAAGTGACTGTCTATTCAGAGCTGAAAGGCAAGCTAAACATTTTTATATCATCCAGGAATAAAATACTGTGATTGTAAGAAAGGCTCCCATAATTGCAGTAAAATTTTCCATTGTAGTAAAATCATGTCCTAGAGCATAAGCAATGAGACAGCAAGCTTTTGAAATGCATAGTCCTTCTTTATAGAAGCATTTCAAGAGCCTACTTTGTTAACCAAATTATTTTACTAGTTCTGTAATATACAAAGATTGCCTATTCTCTGAGTCATTTCTGTTGGGCAGTGAAATAATATATAAATCAACATAAATATATAAATAATATATATACATTTTGCATTTATTTGTATGAAAACCATAATTCTATTGCTATTGGAATCTGCACACTGGTATAATATTAATTACTAATCCATTTGATCCCATAGTATCAGACAAGCAGAATAGGCTAGGCTATTGTTTAATTTGCAGTTGCATGTTTCATATGCAATGAATCAAAACATCACTTGACAATAGAGCATTTTATTATAAATTTTGTTAGAAATTATTTCATCATAAGATATTTTACTGTCCAAATTCATAAAAAAGAGGGAATCCTACCATATCAATCTTCAAATCTTTGGTTAGAGGAGCTGTACCAGAGTAAGAGTAATGTACCAATGTGAGGGGTACATTATTGACTATAATCAACAGGAAAACAGGAGAATAGAAGTAATGTTTAACAAAGCAACAAGGCTTTCTGCAATTTCAAATGAAACATGTGGTGTGAATTATTGGTTCTCCATGCACATATGGATGTATAAGAAAATGAAGTGACATGGCCTACTGAGAAATCCTATTCACCTACTGGCTTTGAACTGCATATGGTGAGTAAGGTATCACATTTGTAATAATTTGATGAAATGCCATTTCTGAAACCTAAAAAAGAGACCGAAAATGTAAAAGCAGGAGAAAAACAGCTGGTAGCTACAAGTATAAGCACAGATATATATATGGGCAACTACTACTGGATCTTGATGTGACGTCAATCTTCAGGAGAGCACAATGGAGGTCTTACTAAGAAAAAGCCAGGATGAACCTGTTTTCAGGACAGATTACAATATACAGTATAAAAATTAAGCAATCTTAAGTAATTAAACCTCCTAGTATCTTAAATATAATTTGATTGTAAAGGATCTTTAAAATGCAAATGCTCTTTTCATTTTATTTTTCATGAAAATACATATTTTGAATGGTGTTGGACACTTAACCTGGGTTGGAAGCAATATCTTTGCTTTGTCCCATCCTTAAAAGTATCATTTACAGCAATTTAGTAAAAGCAAAAAGAACTATGTCTGTACTGATAAATGTGCAAGCTATCCAATAAAATAAGTTTGATTTGCAATTGTTTACAATATAAATATTCAACATGGTAATTAGATAAAATGTAAAGATGTAAAAATGTAAAAATGTTATTTTCATCTTTTTTAACTAACAGGCAAAATGACCAAATGTGAATAACATTTTCTCATACTTTTCTATTTATAACAATGTATCATATGAAGAAAAGCTTGAATCAAAAACATGGCAAGGAAATGTTTTGCATTATTTCTTTAATTTGGTGAGAATACTGTTCTATTTTACTTTTAAACTAAAATATTGAAATGCACAGAGCATATGCCATTGAAATCAAGATGAATTAAGATTTCCTTGCAACAGAAAAGAGCCTGTGCAACTTGAAGACTATTCAGGTTACGTGCATGTTTTCCTGTTTGTTATTACTAGAGTCAGGATGGAAATATGGACTGGTTTACTTTGCCATTTTAAGAATTGATAGAAGACAGGATTTCTAATGAGCTAAAGCCTGGCAGGTGGAAGGCACAAAGGAGTAGGGGAAAATGCATTTTTGAGGGGAGAAAAACATGTTTCAATTTCTTTTTTATATATATGTTTTCAGTGTATCACATTGGCCTCTCCATGGAAGCATCCATACATATCTGATATAAGCACCATACTCAGAAGCTCAGGAGGGGGAATGGCTCTTCATATTCATGAAGCCTACATATTTCTGTTGCTAATTCCTTCTTTGGTCACTCCAGCTGCTTTCAATCATGAAGACTACCCTGCTGATGAAGGTGACCAGATTTCAAATAATGATAATAATCTGATTTTTGATGACTATCGGGGGAAAGGATGTGTAGATGACAGTGGTTTTGTATACAAACTTGGGGAGCGTTTTTTCCCTGGGCATTCCAACTGTCCATGTATTTGTACCGAGGATGGGCCTATTTGTGACCAACCAGAATGCCCCAAAATCCACCCAAAGTGTACTAAAGTAGAACACAATGGATGTTGTCCAGAATGCAAAGAAGTGAAGAACTTTTGTGAATACCATGGGAAAAGTTACAAAATCCTAGAGGAGTTTAAGGTAAGACCAAAAAATGTTTATTGATGTAATCACTTGGTTGATTATGTACAGTTGATTATGTACAGACAGTGTTCAATGCTGGATTAATCAGGTTTTACATAGACTCCCCCCAACCTCATTATAACATTAGTTGTAATTTCTGTAAATAGTTGGTGATCTGCCATACTAGTTAATGGATAGGTCAGAGAAAAATAGGATATGAAAAGGAAACACAGTTACCAATCTTACTTCATAGGTATACGGTTATAGGGTTTCCATTTAAACTAATGTTTAAGTGTATACTTTTCTGTTCAAAATCCTTGGATGAAATAAAGCCCAGAGCTATGAATTAACTCAAAGAAGTATGTCAGTCCAAATATTTCTTCTAAAAATATATATTAGACTTCTTGTTTCTTGCATCACAGGTATATAATATAGACACCACTTTAGCTGTTTGGCTTACTGAAACTTAGTGAGAGAAATGCAAAGTTGTTCAATGAAGCAAACAAAATATATAATGTGCAACAAGGGATGTCTGGCCTAGTAATAATATTTCTGAAAATATTTGATTAATAATAAGCTAAGTGTCTGCAATGTGACATTGCTTCAAAAAAGGCAAATGTAATATTAGACTACATACTGTAACAGAAATATAGTTTTAAAATTATGAAAGAAAGTTGCTCCATTTTATTTTCATTAACCAGATCCCAAATACTATCTTAAGTTATAGACACTAGGCTTTTGGAAGAATTCAGGCAACATGGAATAT